TGAACTGAACCAGGCATTTCAGAATTACTACACATAAACATTCAATCCTAGCCGGGTTATTTGAAATGGCCACTATTGTTTTGGGACCAAACTACAGCTAGTTTTCTGTAGTTGAATCCCTGCTTGATTTTTCCCAATTCGGTCATTGTGGAGGTTTATCTTTTTCAGTCGACTTTATTGAATACAATAAATATCAGAAACAAGTACAATGTGCTTGCATGCCTGGCACTCTTGAAAATAATGGATAACAAATACTGTCCTTCAAGAATGTGAATTCCCACTGTAAAGATATCCCAATTATGTATATCCTCTTTACAGAATCAGAAAATTATTCCCTTTAAGAAAGCATTTCTAGTACAACACAGTCATGAATCACAGAGTCACTTAAGAATTATGTGTCCATGTTGTTACAGTGCCCAAGATGTCATAATACCAGTCCCCTTATTGTCACAAATACAGTACCAATAGTTTTCTTGTGCAGCTCTGGCTTGAGATAATTACATAAATTAGAATGTGTGTGTCTCTGTAATGAAGGTTGGCTGCAGTGGATTAAATACTAAATGGTGTAACTTTAATCTCTACCTTGGTGGGACTCTCAAGCCACTGTCTAAAAACCATGAGAATGGTCTTTTTCTAAATTATCAGCTACGGAAATTGAGCCTTTGTACAATAGGGATTGTGAAACAAGTTTATAAAGCTCTTAGTGACAGAGATGAACAGATTCAGATAACTTGTTTGACTATTTTCCCCTTCAGGCTGCTATGTGAAAGTGAAGACAACTTCATAAACCAGCTCCTGACACACAGACAGTTGTAAATGCATTGGCTGTGTTTGTGCCTGTGCAGTGTTCAGGAAGACCAGGTACAATTATATTTACTAAAAATTTATTTGGGGCGGAAAGTGAATATTCTGTGTGTGGGGGGGGGGGGGGGGGGGGGGGGGGGGGGGGGGGGGGGGGGGGGGGGGGGGGAGGAAGACCACAACACAAAGAGCCAACTCTTCTTTCAAAGACAAAATTCAGAAAAAGTTTGCAGAAAATACATGATCTGTGAAATAAATATTTACACCATGTATGTATAAACGAAGAATGACTGAATTCTTGACGCTGCATTAGTACACATGTGCTCACCCTGAGTGCCTGTTCTAGAACTCTATTTTTCTATAGATAATTGTGCCTTTTCTAGAAGTCTATTGTTCTATAGACAATTGTGCCTGGTTTAGAAGTATGTGTGAGGTCTGATCATACGCTGTATATCATGAGATTGGCCAGTATTAGAGTTTATGCGTGAGGTTTGATCATACGCTGTATATCATGAGATTGGTCAGTATTACAGTTAATGTGTGAAGTCTGATCATACGCTGTGTATCATGAAATTGGTCAGTATTATAGTAAACGTGTGAGGTCTGATCATACACTGTGTATCATCATGTTGAGTCTCAGCAGACTGACTGCCTAGTCCAAGACTAGCTAGACAAACTGACCTCTCAGGCAATGACATCAGGCTATTTGCCTTGTACATGGAAATGCTGACTGCCTGACACACATATAGAAATTCTGAATTCAAATGCTAACTGAAAATACACCATTCAAAAGAGGGGGGGGGGGGGGGAGTATAATCGCAGATACTGCAGATAGGTCTATGGAGTTTAATCTTCTTCTTTTTCTTCAGCATTCCAAGCCCTTGAGGTTCATCGCTGCAAATATCCCCCACCTCCATCATCTCTTTGGTTGGCCTTCTTTTTCTAGTTGGTGACACCAAGTATTTGGAGGTCTGCCTGGAATTTATCTCTCCATAATCTTCTTGGTCTGCCTCGTGGTCTACGATCACTCATCTCCCTTGAATATACAGTTTTCACTTCTCTGTCATCTGACGTTCTCTTAACATGCCCCAACCATTTCAGTCTTTTAGCTCTCATGACACCAGTTATCAATGGTGATTTAAACAGAATATGAATTTCGTTGTTGCTTCTGACTCTTCACTCCCTGCTGTCTGCATCTTTGATGGGTCCAAAGATTCGTTGTAAAACTCTGATTTCGAAAACCTGTAATAAGGCTTCATCTCTTTTAGTTGTGCTCGAAGTTTTAGAACCATATAAAACGACTGGTAATGGATCAAAATGTTTTTCTATATAAAAAGGTCAATATCATACTAAGGCAGAGTCTAATAAAGATGTTTTAAAATGAGTTAACTCATAAATGAGCCATGATAAAATAATGGCTATTTGTTTGCCTACCAGCCCACAAGTTTAGGGCTCAAATCCAATCTGGGGCAGGACTTTTGTCCAAACTGACCTTGGCTCCTAGGTTAGCCCAGGGTGAAATGGGTACCACGTAATTCCTGGGAAGTAAAGGCAGGTAGTGTGATGCTGACTGCGTCACCTATCGAGCACCAGTTCATCAATAAAAAATACAGATTTAGCTCTATAAGCTCAAGAGATGGAAGGTGTTAATAAGAACCTTTTCTTTTTACTTCCAGGCAGAAAGAAAACTGATTACTCATTTCAGAAAAAGCTAATTCCCATTCTTTGACATGCCATTAGAAGGGGAAAACTGGAGTTGGTTGTAAGAACAGGAAAGTTAATGGAGGGACAGCCAAAGACAAGACCGAGGGGACCTATGTTGGCCAGTCCAGCATCATGGCATAAAAGAGGCACTACTGTATCAGTAATTAACAAAGGTGCATATGACAAAAGGTTGTGGACAGACATGATTAGCATTGCCACATAACCTGAGCTATAAGAAGAAGAAGATATACCAGTTGGCGTCTCTGGCTTAGGCGTTGCGAACACGCTTCGTAATGCCGGGTTCAATCCCAGCTGAAGGCCTTGCGCTGCTTTCGACAGTGGTATCCAGAAGCCGACTGTCCAGAAAGAGATAGCAAACTACTGAAGGTAAAATTTGCCTAGAAAAACCACAACAGCCAAAAAATACTGAGGCTGGTTCTACAACGTCCTGTAAAGGATACACAACAAACTTTTCACTTTCCTTCTCAGACAACCCTCATTTATATTATTAGCATTACATGCTATATATTTACTTGGTAAATTCCAGTGCCACACTGGTTTATAAACAATCCAGCAGGTCACATATGAGAATGAAACCCAGTCACTGTTGTGGTAAACAAAACAAAAATGGTTACTAATCAACAATATCTCTTCTGTAGCACTTATTGTACATCTAAAATGATTAAAGTGTAAAACTGCACAAGGACTTTGTGGACACTTTTTTTTACCCTGACTGTATCACAATCTTGCATCTCACATACCCAGAACAACTTGATATGTATTCAAGTGGTGTGTGAAAATGTGAGCACACACATACACAATAAAATCACATTAGGAGTACCTTTTCATGAATGAGGAAAGTATAAAAACCCTTCATCTACAACCTGAGCTTCTTGGCTGACTCGTTGTCTTCTTGTGTGTCTTCTGGAGTGATCTTTGCGGGGTTTTCTCGTTGGTCGACTGGCAATGGCTTCTTTTGTTGGGTGTGCTTCACAGACATAACGAGCTAGGAACCTATCACAGTGTTTATTACGCCACTTGGATTGTTTTTTCACGACCATGCAGTTTTTCCTGTGACTGCTTCGTCTGTCACGAGGTTTCATGTTCTTCCAGTTGACCATTGTTACAGGATCTCCATTTGTATACTGCCATCTGCCACTGCCACTTTTGTCATTGAGACCTAGAGGGATTATACAAATACTCATTTTAGGATATAATATACTTTGTCTGCATCTCAATTTTAGTTATGGAGTCACTCTGGCTAAATGTGGGGTTCTCAGCTAGTGCTCCACACAGCACTTAAGGCTAATTATATTTCTTTATCAACATGGTAGTGGTAGCTGGAAAAATGGCCTTCTTGCCAGATGGCTGAACCCTTTCATCTATTGCACTTTAATTAAATAATTAAATGTATGACTAGTTTCAGTCCAAGTCTTCTCATTTCTTCATTTTTAATTGCAGCTTGTTAGCCAGGACTTCCATCCTTTTATGTGTGTGCTTTTTTCAACTGCCAAGAGACTTTTATGAGGACAACATTCACATTTATCATCCTTTTTTTTCTGCCCTTTTCCGAAAAGCATAAGCATATGTTATATGTACTCCAATTTACTACAAAGCTTATTGTTTTCATGACTATTACACAGGGTCAATACATTATTCTTTATATATTCAGTTAGCTTCCATTCTGATAGGCTGACCATTTCATTAGGAGAGCATAATTGTTTATTTTATTTTTTTGGGTAGGCCTATAGGCCTAGACAGTATTCAACAACAACTATAAAAAAAAAGCTATTGTTCAAATGAACGATGAGTCCGGACGGGACAGTCTCGGCCTCCTTAAATAACAATAGTCTCGATAAGGTTGTTGCGTATCCTTTACAGGACGTTGCAGAACCAACCCCAACAGTCCCTGGCTGTTGTGTGGTTTTTCTAGGCAAATTTACGTCCCGTAGTTTGCCATTGCTTTCTGGACAGTCAGCTTTCTTGATACCACTGTCGAAACCAACGCAAGGCGCATGGCCCGCAGCTGGCATCAAACCCGGCATCCCGGCACTATGAATCGTTCGCATCAACTTAGCCTCAGAGCAGACACTGTCTTGATGAAAATGGGATTTATGGTCACCCTAATTTTTATCATACTCTTAACTTTTACCCGTACTTAACCGCAGGCACACACCAGAGTAGCATTTGTTTGGCTTTTTATGTATGCACTAATTATAACTTCTTGGAACAAGGTATCTGAGCTTTGATCTGTCAAACTGGAATCCAAATTGTGGCTCTTTTTTTGTTGTTCTCAAAGTGGTGTTTCAAACTTTCAATTAGCGGAGAAGATAAACCTTTAGTTCTTTTTCATTCTTGAATGATAACTGAATAACAATAACCATAAATGTGTAACAAAAAATTATAATAATGATGGTAAGAAAGTCATATTAGGGTAGAACATGCTGAAAAGCAATTTCCGCAGTAAATATTCATTAATAAAAAATAATACACACCAATCCAAAATCCTTTGTTAGACATTTTCTCAGTTAGCCACTGTAACTGTCGTACTGATCGAACAGAAGTCAGGTGTCCATTAAACATTTTGACACACTTGTCCTCAGATTCGTCCCAGGACAAGCGTTCATCCATGGGCTTGTAGCACCGTCCATCAAATTCATACCAGTCTGGAAAACATGGGAAGTAAGAAAAAAAACTGGTTTAGCAAAAGAATGGGGAAATTTGTGCATGTGGGGTCGTTAGCAATGTTGGGGAGGAAAGGGGGGGGTGGGGGTGGGGAGCGATTCAAGAGAGACCAAGATAGGTAGGTATCATTACATGAAAGAAGATTAGTATAAAATGACTGGCAATACACTAGACAGAAGGCTCCAGACAGACAAGAAAACCCATATCTCATGGATTGCATCCTTAGAAAAGAACCATAATGGCTGTCTTTGAAGATTACTAAGCTAACCATTTGAAACAGTACAGATGTTTAGAAATGCCCCCATAGTCTTACAAATAATAGAAGAGGAATTCCCAACTGCACTTCTGAGTGGCAGCGGTTGAATGAGACACCATCTGTTTGTTATTATTCACAAATTATAAATATTCATCCATTTCAATGTTTTATTAGAAGAGTGGCTGGTGAAACAGATTAGAATTCCAGCTCACATACTGGAGACTCTGGTTCGAATTCTTGAAAAGGTTATAGGGTTTTCTGGCAGGGGAAAAAAATAAAATCCTAAATGCAGCCTGCGGCAACAGTACAGGCCACGATCGTAAATACCAATAACTGTAATTGTAAGCACCCACAAATGAATTGTCAGTACCCATAACTGTGATTGTTAGTACCCATAACTGTAATTGTTAGTAACCATAACTATAATTGTTAGTTTCCATAACTGTTCCTGTTAGTACCCATTACTGTAAATGTTTTACCCATACCTGTAACTGTTAGTACCCATAACTGTAATTGTTACCACTCTTAATTGTAATTGTTAGTACCCATAACTGTAATTGTTAGTACCCATAACTGTAATTGTAAGTACCCATAACTGACTAATTGTTAGTACCCATAACTGTAATTGTTAGTACCCATTACTGTAAATGTTTTACCCATACCTGTAATTGTTAGTACCCATAACTGTAATTGTTAGTACCAATAACTGTAATTGTTAGTACCCATAACTGTAATTGTTAGTACCCATAACTGTAATTGTTAGTACCCATAACTGTAATTGTTACTACTCATAATTGTAATTGTTAGTACCCATAACTGTAATTGTTAGTACCCATTACTGTAAATGTTTTACCCATACCTGTAACTGTTAGTACCCATAACTGTAATTGTTAGTACTCATAACTGTAATTGTTACCACTCATAATTGTAATTGTTAGTACCCATAACTGTAATTGTTAGTATCCTTAACTGTAATTGTTAGTACCCATAACTGTAATTGTTAGTACCCGTAACTGTAATTGTTAGTACCCATAACTGTAATTGTTACCACTCATAACTGTAATTGTTAGTACCCATAACTGTAATTGTAAGTACCCATAACTGGCTAATTGTTAGTACCCATTACCTTAACTTTTAGTACCCATAACTGTAATTTTCAGTTCTCATAACTGTGAATCTTAGTACTCATAACTGTATTTGCAAGTACCCCTAGCTGTGATTGTTAGTACCCATAACTGTGATTTTTAGTACTTATAACTGTGATTGTAAGTACACATAACTGTTATTGTAAGCACCTATAAATATAGGTACCCATAAATGTAATTATACTTATATTTGTATTTGCAAGTACCCATAACTGTATTTGCAAGAACCCAAACTATATTTATTAGTACCTATAACTATAATTATTAGTACCCACAACTATAATTATTAGTACCCATAACTATAATTATTAGTACCCGTAAGTATAATTATTAGTACCCATAACTATAATTATTAGTACCCACAACTATAATTATTAGTACCCATAACTATAATTATTAGTACCCGTAAGTATAATTATTAGTACCCGTAAGTATAATTATTAGTACCCATAACTATAATTATTAGTACCCGTAAGTATAATTATTAGTACCCGTAAGTATAATTATTAGTACCCATAACTATAATTATTAGTACCGGTAAGTATAATTATTAGTACCCGTAAGTATAATTATTAGTACCCATTACTATAATTATTAGTACCCACAACTATAATTATTAGTACCCATAACTATAATTATTAGTACCCGTAAGTATAATTATTAGTACCCGTAAGTATAATTATTGTTACCTGTAGGTATAATTATTAGTACCCACAACTATAATTATTAGTACCCATAACTATATTTATTAGTACCCGTAAGTATAATTATTAGTACCCGTAAGTATAATTATTAGTACCCGTAAGTATAATTATTAGTACCCACAACTATAATTATTAGTACCCATAACTATAATTATTAGTACCCACAACTATAATTATTAGTACCCATAACTATAATTATTAGTACCCGTAAGTATAATTATTAGTACCCGTAAGTATAATTATTAGTACCCATAACTATAATTATTAGTACCCGTAAGTATAATTATTAGTACCCGTAAGTATAATTATTAGTACCCATAACTATAATTATTAGTACCGGTAAGTATAATTATTAGTACCCGTAAGTATAATTATTAGTACCCATTACTATAATTATTAGTACCCACAACTATAATTATTAGTACCCATAACTATAATTATTAGTACCCGTAAGTATAATTATTAGTACCCGTAAGTATAATTATTGTTACCTGTAGGTATAATTATTAGTACCCACAACTATAATTATTAGTACCCATAACTATAATTATTAGTACCCGTAAGTATAATTATTAGTACCCGTAAGTATAATTATTAGTACCCGTAAGTATAATTATTAGTACCCGTAAGTATAATTATTAGTACCCACAACTATAATTATTAGTACCCATAACTATAATTATTAGTACCCGAAAGTATAATTATTAGTACCTGTAAGTATAATTATTAGTACCCATAACTATAATTATTAGTACCAGTAAGTATAATTATTAGTACCCTTAGTATAATTATTAGTACCCGTAAGTATAATTATTAGTACCTGTAAGTATAATTATTAGTACCTGTAAGTATAATTATTAGTACCTGTAAGTATAATTATTAGTACCCGTAAGTATAATTATTAGTACCTGTAAGTATAATTATTAGTACCCATAACTATAATTATTAGTACCAGTAAGTATAATTATTAGTACCCTTAGTATAATTATTAGTACCCGTAAGTATAATTATTAGTACCCATAACTATAACTGTTACTGAAGTGAATGATTAAGTTTACCCTGCTGGCAGCTGCCAATGTTGGTAGCATCATTGCCAGAGCTGGGACTCCAGGCCTGCCAGTCTTTCCCATCACACTTCAGCAGCTGATAGTTGAAATCATCAAAGTGCAGCAGCCCCTTGGTTATAGCTGTACACTTCTTGGGCATCTGTATGTAAATGCCATATGCAATTAAATCACCAAGATAAACAATTAAAAAAAAAAAAAAGAACAAAAACACACACACACAAAACACCCCCCACTTAATTCCTCTTTTTTCATGTTCATCAGCAGAAAGTGCTGATTGTTCATCCACATCTGGACTTTAGTCTTGTTCCAGAACCTGAGTTTTGCATGCACATCTATTGCACAGATCTGGCTTATTTGTATGCAGACTGTTAACTCTTCGCTTCTCAGGAAGGTGCACTCTGACTTCAATCAAAGGAAACGACCCTGATTAGTCGACTTTTACAACATGCTTGTTGGGGAGGGTGGAGAAGAGGGAAGTGAGTCTTTCCCCCCTGCAACCCCCAATGGGGCCCTAGAACCCACAGAGGAATGCTGTAACAGATGTAAAAGGCACCTTGGAAGGGTTGACATGAGCTGGTGGTTGTGGGCCCATGGTCCTTTGGGAGATGAAAGAAGGAAAAAGAAAAAAGAAAGTTGCAAAAGATGATGATGATGAAGGAGAGGAGGAGGAACAAGAAGAAAAGATGAAAATGAAGTTTTTCAACTCTAAATTTTTTATGAGAAGACAAAAGACTTGAAAAACTAAGTGATAGCTGGCACATTTTTAAAAAGAAAAGAGTTGCAGTAGACAAAGAGATAAATGTCTCCCCGTGTGGGTTCCAGGATCTCATTGTGGGGAAAATAAGAAAAGACCCACTGCCTACCTAAAGCCCTGTCGTAAGAGTTGACTAATTGGGATTGTCACAACCCTGTGAGTACAGTCAGTGGCGGAATGTACCACACCGTAAGGTGTGCGTGTTGAGGCGACACCCCAGGGTTGACACAAAGGTCAGGGCCGTGACTGGTCAAGACTGTGCGGTTATTGTACGGCGAAACCAGCGCTCAGGATAAAGCTTTTGTCCACGGCAAAAAAGGGTGAACGCTGTTGGAGACAAGTCGACAGCACGATGACCGTTTTTGGGTCTGAGCTGGTGAACGGGGTCAAGAGACAAGGGAGAGAGAACAGAGGACATTCGGTGTGCGTCGGTCAGGAAGAGAGGACGTTTAGGAAGACGGTTATAGTATTAAAGTTAGGATATATTTCTGTTAGTGACTGGATAGTTTATGTACAGTTTTGTGTTAGGATAGGATAGTTCTTGTGTAGAGTATTTATGTATATGTGCTGTGAGAGAGTGGCTAACCTTGACACTCTGACCCTGCACTAAGACAGAGACTGTGACAGTTTGATTGGGTCAGTGTGGTGATAGAAAAGAACGTATCTCGACTGGTTGTGGTTTGTACACCAGGATATTGCCAGTAGCACGTACTGGGGGACGAGGTGATTGTAAAGCCCGTTCAGCCAGAGGGTCCAGGCAATAGGTGGCCACACAGCGGGAAGTCAACTGTCTATGTATTACCTGTACTTCCAATAAAGATTGTCATGTGTGCTCTGTGTGCGTTCAGGTTCAGTGTGTGTTAAAGGTTAGTCTGTCTGTCATAGGCCTAGTTACGAGCCACGGACCGGCAAGGTCATACCAGAGGTCTGTGACAGATTATGGGAGCTCGTCCGGGATACGTTCTTTTCTATCGCCACACTGACCCAATCAAACTGTCACAGTATCCCGGCCACCTATTGCCTGGACCCTCTGGCTGAACGGGCTTTACAATCACCTCGTCCCCCAGTACGTGCTACTGGCAATATCCTGGTGTACAAACCACAACCAGTCGAGATACGTTCTTTTCTATCACCACACTGACCCAATCAAACTGTCACAGTCTCTGTCTTAGTGCAGGGTCAGAGTGTCAAGGTTAGCCACTCTCTCACAGCACATATACATAAATATTCTACACAAGAACTATCCTATCCTAACACAAAACTGTACATAAACTATCCAGTCACGGCCCTGACCTTAGTGTCAATCCTGGGGTGTCGCCTCAACACGCACACCTTACGGTGGGGTACATTCTGCTACTGACTGTACTCACAGGGTTGTGACAGGGATCATCCTTCGAAATCGACGTACATCTACCTGAGGGGCAGGGAATCAACATTCTGCTCACAAATGAGTCAGATCTGTGAAACAGATGTGCAGGCAACACTCAGTTTCTGGAACAGGACCAGAGTCCAGAAGTGGATGAACAACCAGAACCTTCAACCAGAATTTCCGGCCGGTGAAAGTGAAGAGAAGGGAAGAGATAAATGTCTAGACTGAATGGCACAAAACCTGATCCAAGATTCTGGTGACTGCATGAGATGGTGAACTATAACCTTTGCTTTCCTGTTTGAAACAATATGATAATGATGACAACAGCAATGATAATGATGAAAATGATACTGCAAGCTAGCAGATTGTTTCCATTAACATCTTTGAAATATTCGCAGTGGTGAGGCTCTTAAACAGGTCTCTCTCCATTTTAACAGTTCTAATCACAAAGGCATGAGTGAAATCTCAATTACTGCTATACTATTTTGCTACTGTGATCAAATCAGCCGCTACTGCGCAGAAAACCACTTCACTCAGTTTTGAAATTCTCAGTCCTGGAGATATGCAATATATTTAATTACATTAATTAGGTAATTTACTTAACTTATACTCTCCCCCCCCCCCATTTGTTTTCAAATGCCTCCTAACTTATCTCGTTTTGTAATATAGCCCTTCATATCTATATCCCAATACCCAAATTAAGTATTTCTTAGATTCATGTTGACCTTCACTGTTTACAAGCTCTATTGTCTTGTCTGTTGAGTTTTCAAGTCACAGTTTGTCTTGTATGCAGTACTCTGTTGACAGACTTTGGTCAAAACATTCAGTTGAATCTGTGCGCATCTTTTCCATCTCTCCGTTGAGCTATCTAGTTATATTTCATGTTATATTCAGCATCTGATGATGTAAGGATGACTGCTACTGCATACATTTACAGCTTCATAAACATAAGACAAACCTGATAAACAGCGGACGACTGGGACCTGCCAGCTTCAGGATTATTTGGCGATGTTGCTGTCATAATGGAATGAGAACTGGAGGAAGAGGCATCATTCTTTCGCCCCTTCTTCTTTTTTCTCTTTTTTGCTTTATTCTTCTTATTCTTTTTACCGCCTTTCCCCTTTTTATTATTCTTTTTCCCCACTGGAGAAATGGAGGTTCTGTCTAAAGATGAGGATGGTGAAGATGTTTCTCGTGCTGTCTTCCTCTCAGCTTCAGTGTTGAGATATGTGTTGTCAAAGCCAGGATGCAGTGGTATGCTGCTTAGTTTGTGATACTGTGGACAGAGAGATTTCTTTGGATTAGTTGATAATATTTGCTGATATCTAGGACAGTCAGTCTATGAATACCATAGATAGGGAGGACTAATTTGATTAGCAATTAACATTAGAATTAAAAATGTTAAGTTTAGTATTTCTTTAAATTTCTTTTGACCTCTACAAATTCCCTAGTGCTATAAAAGCTTCTCTTGCTTTTTGTATTCTTATTTGAATATCTCTATCAGTTCCCCCATCTTTATCTAGCATTTAATGCATGTGTATGCTATTGGCCTTGCCGAAACTGCAGACAGTGGCCAGCGATGGACATTTTGTGTGGTTTTCGTTGGCATGGGAACAGAGCAACCAAAGGGGGTATCGTTTAAGTTTATTCGATGAATCAACATCATGGCACATGGGTGTAACCCATAAGTGCTTCGTTATACTTCTAACCCAAGCCTGAGTCTGAAGAATCACAGTGCACCAACTTCATTGCACCGGCGAGGATCCTTAAATACTTTGGGTAGATTTTTAACTCCTAATTTTTGCCCAGGAAGCGCCGTTAGGCTACTCTCATCGATTTAAAACTGCAAAGAGATTTTATACGTGTGCAACATTACACACGAGCCTCCTACTACCCAGAGACCAGGGAAAATTACTAGAAGTCCATGTGAAAAAATCCCAGCCGTCACTGGGGTCTGAACCCAGGACCTCCAGCACTCGAGGCAGTCACCATACCTCGAGACCTCTCAAATCCCCTACCATAGGGGTAAAAATACTAAATAATGTATATTTATAATATGGGAAAAAGACATATCAATCTTATTTGGATTGGCTATGATGTTAGAATCGCATCACCTGACAGAGGTACCTTGGGGTAGTGGCAGTGATCCTTTCCAAACCAAACCAAACATCCTGTGAATCAACAAGACAAAGGTTGCTTACCAGAACGATTTGGTCTCTGTTATCCAGGGATGATGGAAGGGAAGCAGTGTGGCTAGACTGTGTCATATCCTCGCGGCTTGTGTGTTTGCTGACCATACCAAGGTACTGCGGGCATTCGCCTGAAAAATCAAGGGCACAAAGGTATATATCGATAAACTTAAAGACACATCAACAAAGCATTTTGGAAGAAAAAAAAAAGTTAGTTGTAAATCCTTTGCAGGACTTTGCAGAACTAATTCCAGAATTGTTTGGGGGCAAGTATTTGGGTCTACTATGTAATTTTATGTTCAGTGGTTTGCCAATGTTTTCTAAATGATCTTATTACTACTGTAAAAAATGAAGGCAACAGGGTCCGCTGCCAAATCAACCACAGCTGGAGTCTTATAAGGTATCATGGACCCATAGAGCATGATTGCAATGCCTAAGCCACAGAAGCCAAAACAAGTCAGCAAAGCAATACTATTAACTAAAAGAAAAGTCATCAAGGCAAAATGTGAACTGCATGAAAATAAGTCAATAGAGCAATTTGAAGATTAACTGCATGAAAATAAGTCAATAGAGCAATTTGAAGATTAACTGCATGAAAATAAGTCAATAGAGCAATTTAAAGATTAACTGCATGAAAATAAGTCTATAGAGCAATTTGAAGATTAACTGCATGAAAATAAGTCAACAGAGCAATTTGAAGATTAACTGCATGAAAATAAGTCAATAGAGCAATTTGAAGATTAACTGCATGAAAATAAGTCAATAGAGCAATTTGAAGATTAACTGCATGAAAATAAGTCAATAGAGCAATTTGAAGATTACCTTTCACAACAAGTAAACAAAGTAAGTGATAGATTTTTCCCCAAACCTCTTTTGTAGATTACATGTAAGATAAGTCAATACAGCAGATTTGAAGATTGCCTTAAAGACAAGTAAATAAAACAATATACAGATTTGACAATTTCCAACCATTTCACATAATAATATTACTTTGTGCTGTAGGACATAATGGGAATTATAACTAATCAGAAAGCTGCAATCTACATTCTTTGGTCAAGTGATGAGAAGGAGAAAAAGTGGAGTTCATCATGACAGTAGGAAAGGTGGAGGGGAGGAAAGGTGGAGGGGAGAAGAGACAGACTGAGCCCGAGAGTACAGATGATGAACAGTCTGACATCATGGCAGGGAGGATCATCTGTGTCAGAGCTGACTAAAAGTACATGAGACAGAAAGTTGTGGATAGACATGACTACCAAAACCACACAGCATAGACTTTAAGAAGAAGACAGCTCATTTCTGGTGGAAAGCAAGATCAGCAAGGCCATCAGAAAACTGTGGTGACCCTGCTTTGCATGGTCTCCATGCTCACAGCAAGTCAAGCAGAAAATCTGCGCGACAAACAATCACACAAGATACTTGGGGCTGGAAAGGTAAACGAGGCAAAGTCTGAGGTTGACTCGTGTACCAGAGATGGAAGAAGACAGTCGTGATGTCGTCAATGTTGTAGTTTGAATTAAGTGTAGTCAACGTTGAGTAAATGATTATTGTGGCATAGTTGTGGAAGTGAACAGTGATGATTGTGGTTGAGTAATTGTGACGGAATTGGAGAAATAAACTGGCAGAATGTATACTGGGATTCGATCAGCGTTCCAGTGTTGTCATTTGTTGAAAGCTGTATTCGTTTCAGAGTAAACGAGCTATATTAAAAGTGAGCCAGCTTTCTTACAAAAGGCCTGTCACAGCAAGTGCATAGGCCATTATTGGCATCACAGGTATTTCTTTTCAAACATTTATTTTTCAACTTATTTGTGATCATTTTGCCTTTGTGTTTATTTCCCCTGCTGATCTTTCCTTTCCCTGCAAATCAATCCATGGTGTTCTGTTCCCATGAATTCAGCTCAGTACCTGTATCATTCATGTCCCACTTGCACAGACTTTTATACCACAGTACAGGCCAACCCGCTCATCCTCTACCCATATGTAATACACCATTGGGATGTCCTTAGAGACTCACCATCATCTGTCTGTAAAGTGTATCCTGGCCTTCTGAGCATTTATAAACAGCACTGAGAAAACCATTTAACACCTGCTCTTTCCAATACCACAGTGTCTATGATCTTGTCTTCCCACCTAATGCCAAGTAATTGGTTCTTTATTAATATCCTACCCCAGATGACGTCACAGCACAGTTCAACATTTTAGAGGGTGGTATGACTAAGTTTCCCGGCTTTCTGATGATTTTAACGACCCCAAAACATCTAGAACCCCCAACTCACCTATGTCCTACGAGAGAGTGCAACATAGGTCCCACAACTGCATACAGCCTAGGTCCCACGACTGCATGCAGCCTATCTACCACTCTCTGAAATATTAGAATGTCCTGTGACCTGTGGATTTCCCCTGTTTGGGGTAGGATATTAATAAAGATAAAGTAATCTTTGTAGGCATCACATATTAAAACCTATCTAGCTGAGTAACTTGATGAAGTTTCACCACCATAAAGAAGAGTGCTAAGGACATGCGCTAGATATGACTCCCCTTTAAAATGTAACAAAGCAAACATGTTTCACGACGAGAGAACTTACCATTTTCTGCATTAATGATTACAACTCTGAGCTTTCGGTTGTCTCCGAGAATTGTGTTGACTGGATCTATCAATGTCAGGCGAAGTTTTTTGTTTGGCTCTAAAACACCTTCATCTACTATAGTCAATTGCCATGTTGCACGGGCCTCACCTAATGAGTAAAGAAGCATATCTATATACAACTGGTAATAAAAAGCATTTTAAAACAAAACAAAGAAAAACAAAACAAAACAAAACAAAAACACACACCAGCGCACCGCATGAACACACACACAAAACTGTGACAGGACTTCACATAGACACATATACTAGATCAAACCAACATTAATTGAGGTGATCTGCTCACTTTACTTGTGTGTGTATTTGCAAATGCATGTATGTATATATATATATATATATATATATATATATATATATATATATATATATATATATATATATATATATATATATATATATATATATATGTATGTATGTATGTATGTATATATATATATATATATATATATATATATATATATATATATATATATATATATATATATATAAAAATATATGTCTGCCTGCGTGCGTGCGTGCGTTTGTGTGTGTGTGTGCGTGTGCAAGCACACACTGGCGTATGCATAACAAAGAGAATACTGTGACACCAATTTATACAACAACTGGTCAGACACAAAAATAAACTCTGCTAAAAGCTGAACCTAGAGTGCTTTGTGTTTTAAAAGGCGTTGAAAGGCACACAGTTCAACTTCTTTACTGGTCAGATGAAAAACTCCTCCTAATAAGTGAAACTACAACCCGTTTCAAAATTTCATGCCATCAAACTTTTAACAAATATCTCAAAAACTGTTTGCACATGGGCTTTTATTTTTCCCTGTCCTTATGATTTCACAATTTACAGTTGCAAAGGTGCTGCTGCTTTCTTACAGCGGTGAATTTCTTTGATTTCAGTGGGACTAATAATCTGTGTACCGCTAAAAAAAAGTTTACAGTATTGATGAACATTGTGTACTTTTTAATGAGCCAGTTAACAAGCATTATGACAGTACATGATGTTTCCACTTCACTATTGGAAGTAAGTGTGCCTTAGTTTCTCCTACAGGTTACTTTCAAAATCAGTACAGTCTGGTGTTTTGCAAACTTTGCCACAAGCCATTTACTGTAAACATGCTAACTATAAGTTTTGAATCAGTGTCTGGTTTTTTCATATACCACAAATAAGGCAAAACTGAAAACTAGATGTGTTTTTTGGCATTATAATTATTTTCCTACAAAGAAATTATTATTAACAGGTTGCATGCCACATTTTAACAATTAACACTGAACAGTTACAGAGTTAAAGATTTTTAAAGTTTGGCACGACTTTTGAAATGAACAATAGACTGCTTTGCCTTTTATAAGGTGTTTAAAGGCAAGTGAATTGACTTCTTTGTGCCATGTTGAATACCACATGGCTGAATCTCTCCCTGTAGAGCAGCTGATTACCGCAAGAGTATTGCACAAAGCACAAACTGTATAGCTTTAACAACCTCCCCCAGGAATATCAAAATGCCTTCATTCACGGAACAAAGGACAAAGTTCACAATCAAGCCTGCAATCTTCAGAGCATGGGGCAAATTGTTTAACAAGTTTGCATTACTTTTTAAATCATTGCACTATCTATTATGTTATCAAATTTCCAAGAAGTGATTTAAAAAGCTAGTAAAGATGAGAAGATCACCTTTACTGCACCAGGTTTTATCTTATCTGGTTTGGTCTATTTCTGCAAAGCAGTTGACTGCCTGCTGGAGAGCATCACACAGGTTACTAACTTCACAGATCCCTTGATGACCCTAAGGATCTCACAAAATGTGCATTTGTGAACAGTGTGTGAGGCAAGCAGTTTAAATGTTTCACGATGCTGACCCTAGTTAAAATTCTGCAAATACCAGTATGTTCTTCTTCTTCTTCTCTCGTTCACCTGAAATAGATTATCTAAATTTGCAATGCTGTCTCTAGTATTAACTTCACAGTCTTATGCAATTCACTCAGCGACCCGTAAAGTTTGGATAACAGCATTTCAGTTTCAGTTGTAATATCCTCCTGTTGCAATTAATTTCTAAAATTTAGATTATTCTTCGCTACCCTGTATCATATAAGTTTAAACACAGAAAGTCAATGCAGATGTTAGTGTAGGAAGAAGTATAAACTTAGCAAACATACTGAATACACTGTGTTCCAGAGACGGTGAGACATATGAGTCAGAGACAATGAACTGCATGCTGGACATGGGTACTAAAGTTTAGTTTAGTTTAGTCGACGGATCAACATCATGGCACAGGAGTGTAAACCCATAAGTGTTTCATTCTACTTCTAAATCAAGCCTGAGTCTGAAAAATCTCAGCACAGTGCAAAAACTGTTGCACCGGCGAGGATACTGAAACACTTTGGGTAGATTTTAACTACAAATATTTCCCGGGCAGCACTGTTAGGCTACTCTTTTTTGATTTCCAACTGAAAAGGTATTTTTTATGTGTGCAACAATACACATGGGTGACCGGTCTTACTACCCAGAGACCAGGGAGAATCACTACAAGTTCATGTGAAAATATCCCAGCTTTCACCATGGTTTTAACCCGGGACATCCAGCACTGAAGCAGATGCCATACCTCGAAACAGCGCAGCCTCCCTTGTATTAAAACAAGGAAATAAAGAAGATGTGACAATCAACTCCTACTAGGTACACTGAGCTTGGAGACACTGAGATGGCTGCTGCATCAAAATACGGAGCACACATGGGAAGGACTAATGACCTGGGATGTTGATATAAACAGCAAGCAACAATAAATAGTAAATGGTCACTGTCGGTATGTTCCTAGGTGATAACAACACCATATAAATTAAAATCATCACGATGATTGTAAGATCCAGTAGGGGTATGGGACATAACGAGTGACGACAGTGAATGTCCACGTCTGTACTAAGTGACTGTGTCATGACCGGCAGCTCAGTGACAGGAACACATGACTCATATTAATCTTGTGACAGAACGTGCTGATTGTTAATGTAGCCAATAAAACCAACCAACAGGGCGACTATAGAGTTGGTTCCAGGATTTGTGACCGTAGACTTGTAACTACTTTTTACTGTTAGATTATAGCGAGTATTGATTTAAGTCTAGTAACCAGTAGTTCGTGTATTAATGTGCTTAGCTGGACAGTAGCATTAGTTCATGTGTTGTACAGCGTGCGATAGAGTTAGTATTTTGTATAGCGATTCACATTGGTAGCTTGTTGGGTATTGCAGTTATGCTGTTAGCAGGATTGTTGTAGTATTTTGTGGTCTGATCTATCCTTACACATTTTGGCCTGCACTCTGCAGACGCTCCTCAGTCTCAGTGTAGAGTCCAGTGGCAGAGGAAAGAGCTTGTAATGGAAACAGGGTAGGTTGAACAAGGTAGGATGCGTAGAACAGGAAGGGCAGGGAGTGGGAGGGGTCATTTTAAAGTCCTCATGGGCTTTGTTTAGGATCGGGGTTGCCCAGTGTTTTTGAGGCTAACCACCTGCTGTATACTGTTGTTTACTTTAAAGATTGATGTGTGTGCTCTGTAAGTGTTTGGCTTAGTGTGTTTAGAAGCAGATAGTCTGTCACAAGCCTACAAGCGGGCCCCAATGTCATCATGGCAGTTTATTAGGTTCCTGACAAGGACAGATTAAATTTTTCTTTTAATGTAAACAAAAAGTTAGCTGTATATCTTTTACAGTTATTTTCAGAGTCATTGGCTGTAAACTGTAGCGGAAATTTCTGGTTGTTCATCCACTTATAGACTTTGGTCTTGTTTCAGAACTTGAGTTTTGTGTGCACATCTGTTTGACAGATCTGGCTTATTTATATGCTCACTGTTGGTTTCTTGTCTCCCAGGCAGATGCACTTCAACTTTAAAGGAAGCACCCCTAATTAGTTGCAATTTATGAATTTATGATACACTACACCAATTTTAAACTCAGTATGTTGGAATTATGAAACTTCATTTACAACCCCTAAATCACACATGCTAAGAAAAGCTTAGAAAAATAAATGAAATTAACTTACCAGGGTTGAACTGAACCTGTTTAGATGTGCTTGCAACGAAGTCTACCCCCTTCTTTGCTGACATTTCTCTAATGCTGACCCCGACAAAGCTGGACTGATCAAGGTTGCCAGATCTGGAGACTGTGATGTCTAAAGTGCCAATATTTTCACAGGCTACAATCTCTTCCCTGTCAAACTGCACCCGAGACCAACTCATTTTGAACCTAAAATAAAAAAATATACAGAAAACTAATTGAAACCATAAATACTGACACCCAGACCCAGACATACTTTACTTTAAGTTGCAAGTTTTTAAGACACAGTCAGTTATCACAATGCCTGTCTGGGACTGAAAGAGTCAAATTTGTATTGGAGGATTTGGCAGACAGCGGTCCTATAGCATTATACAACTGAAGGAAAGCAAGAGCTGGAACAGGAAAATTAATGTTCCTTGCAGTCCTTTTTGTCATCAGGAGCTATGCTGATTGGTGGTCTTGATATGCCAGAATATTAAATGATCACTTGTCTCAGATCAGGAATGTGTCCTTGTCCTGATTGTGCCATGTGACCAAACAATGCAATTATTGGTCTCTTGTCTTACCCTTTGCTCGTTTCTTATCAAGTTTACATGCCATGTGGGCGTTCAAAGCAATGAAAGTGCAGATTACCTGGTACACAATGTGGTTACCATGACCGGCCCTGCACTGGACAGGAACAATGTCATTAATGTCATGCAAGATGCATATCGTGAAGAAGATCACAACAACAACCAGGACTCTGTATCCTTGTGCAGGTTGGTGAACATAGGGGTGCAGCCGGAAGCAACCAGACATGAACCTTTCACCAGAGGCACAAGACGTCTGATTAATTAACACAGAACAGGCAAGATCAGTCATTTTTACTCTAGTGGAGCTATTCAGGAGCAGATCAGAGCACCTATGGATCTGTCTGGTGTGCTGCCTCACTAATCACATTTCTCCTCTTAACATGTCAACAAGTGTAGACTGTTGAGAGTTTAACTGAATCCTTCAGATGAAGTCTGCGGAAGACTGCCAGCCATGTACCAAACTTAATTTCCCCCAAGAAATGAACGGCCAACGAACAATCTAACTTACAGCTGGTCACTGAGCATATTTCCTCTGACATCTTCCACTCGAAAACTGAAGGAGTCTGAGAAGTGTCTGCCTTGGCTGTCCACAATAAACAGGAGACTTCCATCATCCACATCTTTCTGGGTAAACCGCCTGGTTACATACCGCTTGGCTTGGATGTTCTCTAAATGTCCATGCTTGGGTTTGGAAGTTATCACGTACCACAGACTTGAGCTGTGAATAGGTAAATGTTTATGTTATCACATACCACAGAGCTGTGAACAGGTAAATGTTTATGTTATCACATACCACAGACTTGAGCTGTGAACAGGTAAAATGTTTAATGTTATCACATACCACAGACTTGAGCTGTGAACAGGTAAATGTTTATGTTATCACATACCACAGATATGAGCTGTGCACAGGTAAATGTTTGACATTATTACATACCATACAGCTGAATTGTAAACAGGTAAATGAGATTTTCACATCCACAGGCTTTTCTTCTTCTTTCTTCTGTTATTTCACTGACACAAGGTCATGGTTTTCTGTATATGTCCTGAGCTTATCTGGTGGACTGAGTGATATGTTTCTTTAACTTTTTGCAGGTTTCAGCTACACCATTTATCCATCTCTTTCTTGGGCTTCCCCTTGTCTTCCTCCTAGATATTCTCTTGCCAAAAATCTCAAATGTAGTCTGGTCTAGCTGCAGCAGCACTATATGGTGAAACAATTTCACTCTTTGGCTGTCAAAATAATTGAGACACTGTCTTATTCCAACTTTGTCTCTAACTCTGTTATTCTCATATTCTGGTTAATTACATATATGAAGAGAGCCAGATTTATTTTTTTTCTAAAAAAAATGACTTTGACTCCCAGGTTGACCCAGCTTTAAATGGGTACTAGGTAAAGCCCTTGGAAGTAATTGTAGTTGGTAAGATGTTGGCCAAATCATCAATCAAGTGCTAATTGAGCTAAAAAAAAACAAAATAGGTCTAGCACTACATGTCCAATATGTCTAAAGGAGTGAAAAGATTCTTTTTTTTTTTAAATCCACACATATAAAATACTTTCCTTAATTTTTTCTACCACTTACCACTTTAAAATGTGTTGCATCAGGAGATTAGGTAATATCGTTTCCACTGAGCCAAATAATGGAGACCAGGCAATGTTTTGGGAGGTAAAGACTGTCAGAGCGTACATTACAGCATAAAAATAAGTTCTTTATAACAAGCTGGGATGCCATTATTTCCTCATCTCTTTTCATTTCAAATATCTGCAGTTGGTCATTATGCTGAAAGAGTTGCAGATTTTCAGAAAAGCGACACATAAATCTCTTACGTGGAAGGCAAGGGAAAACAACCACGTGAAGTATCCTTGAATAAATTCATCATTATCAATCAGCATGTTCTTTACAGAACATGGCTCTCATTAGGGAATGCCTGAAAGTTTCTCTCTAACCAATTCTCCAACCTCATGTGCTTTCATTACGCATCTTCAATGTCTGCTAGCTCCCTTTGCAAAGGTCTGCTTTTGCCTTGTTTTCCGGAAACTGTCCTTCCAACACCATTCTCTCCAGGCCACCACATATTATATGGTGAATAAATTCATACTGACATGTTTGAAAGAACTTCATACAGATCCCAGGCAATACGCTGAATACACTGGCAAGACAAAGTATGAAAATATGGTTCTATGAGTATTTGCTAAGACAGGATAAGCTACTCTTTCATGAAATTCATGAATAGCAACATACCTGTCAGAATCAGAGTCAACAGCTCGCAACATCTTGTTGGACAGCTTGTAGCCATACCTCTGTCTTCCCAAATGCTGTAGTAGTTCAGGACTTTTGTTGACCACCAACCTTGGGGCATCTTCCACCAAAGGTTGAACAAATATACTGTTGACAAATGTCCAATTATCAATAGCATATTATACCAGTTTTATAAAGCATAGATAAGGCCATATCTGAGCTGATAATGTGTCTATTTCACAATAATAATTTTTATTTAATTTTGAAAAGTGCAGAAAATTTAATGATTGAAATGAGCAAAAGGACATTTAAAACGGTCCAATTAATTATGAATATAAAGCGATATAAAAGCAAACAATAATAAATCAGCAGCTATAGAAGAAGTTGAATTAGTTTTTAAAGGGTGCTTAATGAAATATCTCGGCATCTGTGGCTTAGATGTTGATAACAGGCTTTGTAATGCCTGGGGTGCCGGGTCGATCCCAGCTGCGGACAGTTTGTCTTGCGCTGGTTTTGATAGTGATACTGAGAGACTATTCAGAAAGCAATGGCAAACTACTGAGCATAAAATGTGCCTAGAAAAACCACAGCAGCCAAAAACTGCTGGGATTGGTAAAGGTTACACAACTAACTTTAATAGAATATATCTGTACAAATGATCATAGGCTAATTTTAAGGGTAACAAATATATTACACTTTTGGTATATCTGCCTTATTCTGTCTCTTCTATTTTTCTGTTGTTCCAGCACTGTTGACACAGAAATATGCTTTCCTGAATGTATGTTTCTGTGACAGAGATCACACAAAGCTTGGTGTGCATGTTTCTCTAAGGGCTGATAATCAGTTCATAACTCGCTTATCAAAATGGGTGAAGCCTACTGCAGTTCTGAAGGATCTGTTCAGCTCTCTGTTGCACCTGTCCAGGGGTGCACAAGGGTGACAAGACTAATTTCAGTCTGTGTGACTGTTCAGTCTGTCGTGTAATATTCTGATATAAATTTTTCTTTGATTTACTTAGAAGATGAAAAGAATAAGAAAAATGACAGAAGAAATTAACTAAGAGCAGGAAAAAAAGTTTGTCAAAACAGAAACAGCTAAAAAAAAAAAAATTATAATTATGACAATGAAGAAAACATAAAAGGGGTAGCAGCAATCAATAAACCTGACTGAAGGACAAGATGACGACTAAACAAAAAATACACTTTAAGTACGCACCCACATACACACAAAATAAGAAATGATTAGCAGAGTGGGAAAGGGATTCTAAAAAAAAATAGTAATGACAAATAAAAGGTAAACACAAGTTCAGTCAGCAAAGAGTCCAGAGGAAATAAAACACAGATGGCCGAGTTATCTGTTTCGCATATAGAAGTATCAGTTGAAAGCTCTACCTCATCATTGCTGGTTGCGTCTGTAGACTGCCATTGATCAGGAATCCTTCATGGCGTCCATCAGTTACAGTGAAGAGAAAATTATCCAATCCTGTCCATAGAAATGTATAAAATATAATGTTGTTCACAGACTCTTAGTAAGACAGGAGCTTATGACAACTGGCACACACTTATAGATTTCTGATATGATGTGACGTGATACAATATCAGGGAAGCATTTCTACAATTTTTGTTGCCTTTTTAAAATAATGCTGTATACATCCTTCTTTCTGTAATACATTTATATTGCAGCTCCTGATGCTTACTAAGTAATCTGCTGTCCAGTGTGTTTGGGTGTGTTTAATATACATATCCTCCCACGATGTGTATCAGTCTTCTTAATACTCAGTCAACGAATGCTCAGGTGGCTAAGTCACACCTGGAGAATAAAGGATGGAGGACATCCTTTATGGTGAATTAAAGATGGGTAGAAGATGTCAAGGCCATCCTCTACTATGATATGAAGATATGTGCAAACAAGACATGAATGATACAGGTACTGAGGGGGACTCGTGGAACAAAATGCCAATGGCCCATGTTGTGTGGAATAGGCTCCTTTACTTGTATAACAACCATATTTTATCTGTAAATAATATTTTACCTACTCTTGATCCAGCACTCTCACCGGTTATAAACCCAACACCTACATTATTCTGTATGAAGACTGAAGTGACCAACACTAGATGGCTATACAGCTTTATTATAAAGTAGCTCACTATGCAGAGGAACAACAGCAGCTAATCTATCAGCCTAATCATTATGCTGCACATAAAATCTATACTATGCTTCTAATCTGAGTCTTATAAAGCAATTAAGCCACTGGAAGCTGCCGTGTTACTGCCTTACCTCCAGTCAAATACTGGATGCTGCAATGCTGTCAACATTTCCAAGCTTAGCTTAACATAACACTTGACCCATCAGGGTTGTGTAGGTGTATTGATGAAAGCGCTAGTACATAAAACCCGCCATCTTTCTCTGTTATCCGCTGGATAAATAAATGTATGATAACTTAGTCCTGTCCATTTCTTGATGTTGTCATCAAACTTAGCATACCTGGTATTGATCCATCACTCTCATAAGTGAAAAACCCAAAACCTATGTTATGCTGTGTGATTGTTGCACTTACTTACCAACACTATTATTCAAACATTATCATTTTATTTGTTATTATCAGCCAATTTATATTTTAATACTTATATACCAGCTGACACCATTATTAGGACATCCAAACTAAGCATAAGCGCCAAGAAATAGATTATAAACAGTTTATTCATACTTACACTCTGCAACCAGTGCCAGTCATGGATATTATCAAAGGCTAACCTACGTAAAATTAACACATGTGAAATGAGATGCCTGAGAAAAAGCTGCCAACTTAACCCTCTGAGACAGTTAGAAATGAAATTATCAGAAATACTGTCGGAACAACACCATGCAGCCAATTTAGAGAGAAACAGTAGATAAAATGTTTTAGTCATCTTGTAAGAATGCAGCCAGAACAACTACCAATGCAGGTGCTACACTTGAAAAGATCTGAAATAAAAGCGAAAGGCCACCTAAGGAAAATATGGATTGATGACATTAAAGAGCTTCTACATTGACAGGGAATTACAATAGCTCTTGCTACCCATCAAGCAACGGATCACAAAATGTTCCTCCCCACAACACTTAATGGTAGAATTTGAAATTAATGATTATGATTATATGTTTTAATATCCACCTAATCATTTAATTTTTAAGCTCTGCTTACCTGCTCTTGATCCATCACTCTCATAAGTGATAAACCCAACATCTACGTCATGCTGTGTGAAGGCTGAACTGACCAAAACTCCCCGGTTATACAGACGACCGTAAGACGGTGGCTTGGCAATCACATAGGTAATGTTTTGGGCAGCTGTGTCTGGGTCTGTAGCTTTGATGTGTGAAGGTGTCAATGGCTCTTCAGTGCCCTGTCAAAATAAAAACATGATAAACAAAACCAAAAAAAAATCTGGGGGGAAAAGGGGGGGGGGGGGGTAATTTCTGTATTGCTAGTTATATGTTCATATTGACATTCTAGCACATCAGTCTGACTGATTCGTGCTCCCTCCTCCAGCTCAGCAGCAATCTCAGTGTACCCAGTAGGAGCTGATTGTCATATTTTCTCTCTTTGCCCCGCAACCTTTTTCTGCATGCTTGTTCTCATTTAATACCAATTTCCAGCAGCGTGGTACATCGTCCATGACTCCTTCGTCTCAAAAGTCTCTAGAATGCAATGCATTCAGTATATCTGCCCTGTCCATAACTTACTAAATTGTTAGCTGGTACCTGCAGTAGTTTAGGGGCTAGACATCCGCCTGCCAGTCTGCATCATGGTAAACTTTAAAAAAAAAATCACAATTTACTCAATGCCAATCTAAACCCACAACTTTCAGAGCCTGGGTCATCTAGTGGAAAAAAAAAAACAAAATAAATGTCTATGCTACAGACAAAGTAAAAGTATACAGATTCTGCCAAAAACCACTTCTGTCAACGGCAAAACATCAAAAGACTAAAGACTCATTCCAGGACTTGATTGTTGGGTGCATATCCAGTTTACAAATCAACCTTATTTGTATGTAGACTGCTGGTTCCTTGCCTCTCAGCTAGACTTGCTCCGACTACAAAGGTACCATCTATCCTGTTGGCCAGGTTCCTGGTTGTGAACCTGTTTCTGGGATGACCATGCAGTGGTGTAGTTAAGTTGATTCAAGAACCCTTATCATAGCACTTGGGGCATTCTCATAAGCGCTCCATCCCCATCTTCAGCAGCCAATGCAGAGTTTTAATACCAATGGTGCCAAGAGAAGTGTAGATGGGTCTTGACCAAACTGAGCACTGACCCTGGTGCACCTCCACATGTAGTGTTGCACCTTTCCATCCTGAACTTATCTGAACTGTTCCTATACGCATGTCTTGTTCTTCATTAGTCCTAAAGAGTAAGGGACCCTTTTCCCTGGCTTTAGATGTACTGGACATATAGTGCTAGACCTATATTTTACAGACCAGCTGGCATTCTGTGGGTGATGTAGTCAATTTCAAGCCAGCTGTCTTTACATTCCAGGACTTTACTGGGTACCTATTTAACTCTTTGAGTCCCAATGATGCACCGATTTTATTACTTTCTTTACTACCCACTAGGCCTGTAATGCTAAACCCCCTGGGACTCAAAGAGTTAAAGCTGGGTTGATGTGGCAGCCAAGGTCATTTTTGAGAAATAATGAATGTTTCTATTTTCCAAAAGCGAATTATTATTGACTTATAAAAGAAATGATCCTTTTACATGCCATAAGGTGTATTGAGTGTATGATGCTAGAATCATATTTTTAAAGACAAATTGCAACTTGATGTGTGTGTGTGATGTGGAAAATAACATGCTGCATCCTTTACTTCCCAGAACATTCCCTGGTACCTGTTTTAGGGTTTCTCGGCTTGGGAGACCAGGCTTTTTTTAAAAACTAATAAATAGAAATCTGAAAATATGACAATGCAATTCATCAATTAATCATTTCATTAATCAGGTGCTGTTTCCACATTAAAGGTTGGCTGCAATGGATCTCTAACATACTGTCTCTTTTATTTGTTATATACTCTCTCAGACTGCTATTGATGCTGTCCTCTGGCCCTCAATCCTGCTCTCCACCATGTATTTTTAAATGTGTTTTTTTTTAAAGAATGTTACGTCTTTTAATGTGGCTAAAGAATTTCAATTGGGTCCTTTTTATTTATTTCAGTAACTCTTTTCATTCGCAGTTTCTCCAAAACCTCTGTATTTGATTGCATTTGTTTCCATGAAATACAACTAATTCTTCTGTACATTTCCAGAGACTCCATTCTACTTCTTATTTTATAATGACAACTCAGCCAGCAGGCAAGCTACTGCAGTGTTACAGTTCTTATGGTTAATTTGGCCTTATCTTATGTTTTGTTTGTTTGCCAATTCTGTAACCACAGTTATACAAACAAAGGCCCGGCTCTCTAGCGAAGTTAGTTAAACCTGACTTTCGCGGCGGCCGGGTGACGAACTCCTTGTGGTCCGGGTTCACTCCCGGGGGTAGGCAGAAAAGCCACATTTCTCCCAGATTAACGGTACCTATAATGGAATCAAGGCCGAAGGGTTGCGATATCCATAGTACCGAGCCAAAGGGTTTACAACTCATGGTTTCTGGATACGTAAAAAAAAAAAAAAAAAAAAAATACAAACAAAGGTTTTCCTCTGATTATTCTAATTCTGTCCTCATTCTCCAACAATATGTCATCACCATCAAGTGCCTTGCCAGCTGGCGCAGGCATTCATGCATCTCCACAGATCTCGGTCTTTGGTGTTCTGGGTCAATTCCACTGATGATATTCCTCTATGCCACTGTCTTAAGCCATCCACAATCATTTATCTTATTCTGCCTTTAACTCTTCTACCAGTGATCTATCCAGTCATCACAATATTTTTCCAGTGCTCCTTTTCTCCTCGCACGACAGAAGAACTTTTCTCATTATCATTGTTGTATACAATGTTCTACTTTCATTAGCCATTTCCATGCAATCATTGTTAGTTATTCTGGCAGTCCAAGGTGTTCACAACAATCTTCTTAAGAACCACATCTCAGTTGCCTCCAAACTCTTCTTCATTTGTTTGCTCACATTCAAAGATTCAATGCCATACAACAGGACAGGCTTGATATAACATTTCAGTACTCATTTTCTGATATTTAGTGAGAGTGATTTATTGCAAAAGATAATTTTTCTTTTCTGAAATGCTGCCTTTGTAAAATAAATATGTACTTTTTTCTTCTTCTGCATTCACCTCATTAGAGTGGTTGGGATGTTGTGTTGCAGTTTACATCAAGGCTGTGCCTTCTGGTGCAATATGTTCAATTTAAGCAAACTCCAAATAAACTGCCTTGGTGAGGAAGTGGGTTCAAAATACCACGATTTACAAATAAAATGCAATTGCTGTTTAAAAGAACCGAATGTGACTCTATGAAAATAAATTTGATTTGTTTGTTTGTTCATTCATTAGTTCCCTCTAAAATGGAATCTCAGATGCCCAACAATGAAAAATATGTACTAAAGACTCACATCTAGGTCACTTACCTTACTGATGAAGCAATTAAAAAAAAAATCATACAACCACAAAAGTAATCATATTATTTCAAAGCGCTAGTAGGCCATCCAACAGAGTCTTACGATGAATCTTTAGGCCCATCAAAGATGCAAACAATGGGGAATGGAGAGTGAGAAGCAACAACGAAATTCATAATCTGTTTAAATCACCATTAATCACTGGCACCATGAGAGCTAATAGACTAAAATAGTTGGGGCATATTGAAAGAATGTCAGATGACAGAGAAGTAAAAACTGTATACACCAGGAAGAAGAATGGGCGTAGACTACGTGGGAGACCAAGAAGACGATGGAGAGATAATATCCAGACAGACCTGCAAACACTTGGTGTTACCAACTGGAAAGAGAAGGCCAACCAGAGAGATAAATGGAGGCAGGTGATATCTGCAGCAATGAGCCTCAAGGGCTCAGAATGCTGAAGAAGAAGAAGAAGGAGAAGACTAGTAGGCCATGCACTCAGAATGGATAAGACAAGACTTCTCCATCAGGCATTCATATGGGGGCTGGAAGGGAAAAGAAAAATGGGGAAGACCAAAAAAGACTACGTAGAATCATCATCAGGGAAGACTCAACCATGAGCCTAACAAAATCCAAGATCTAAAGCAGGTTGCAATGAACTGCCAGAAAAAAAGAGAGCTATAACCTCTGCCCTATGCGTAGCCATAGGCCCAAGAGGAAAGACTAACTAGTAAGCAGGTAACTAGTCAGCTCAGCCTTAACCAGGTGATGTCCAGGGAATTAGAGGTAAAGGTGGTGGTGGGATGATGTTCACTACATCATTCATCAAATGTCAGTTGGTTAGTCTACAAAAATTTGGGTACAGCACCATATACCCAGTGCAACAATGGCATGAAATGAGCATTTTACTTTTATTTTTATACGAGGGGAAGTCAAAAAGTAAGTCACAAATGGTTACGGGATACCAGGAAAATTTAATTGGTGGTTTCTAAAGGTCTCATTAGGTGACAGCAACATTCAGCTTTATATCTCGGTTCGTTGGATGGCGCTAGGTGTTGCATGCGCATTCGCAACACAGAAGCAAGGTCACGATTGTACTTACGGAGTGTACCCTCAAAGGACAACATGGTGTTGTGCATTCTTCTGGGTAAAAAAAAAAGGCTGCCTGCAAAGGACATTCATAAGGAAATTCTTTCTTATTATGCTGACAAATTTTTTACCCCGTAAAGTGGTGTATAGCTGGGTTTAAAAAAAAAAATGCCCCTAGCGATTTCTAACTTTTTTTGTCCACTGAAAACCCACCTTGGCAGGAGACATTTTGCAAATGTGAAAATGTTCAGAAAACACAGCTCACAGTCTTGTGCAGCTCGTTTGGGAGGAATGATAAAATGACAGGACAAGTGCATCAATGTTGGTGGAAATTATGTTGAAAAATATAGGGACAGTGTGTGTGTAAAAGTAAACGTTTTCAAGTTGTTATTAGTGTTTTTTTTTTTTTAACAACTAATTGTGACTTACTTAGTGACATCCCCTCATATATACTAGTAAGGAAACAAACCTGTAGAACTTCCAACAGCGAGTTTGCCAACAAAGATGGCAGAACTCTGTCCATTGGCTGAATACTGATCCTGAACTCTCCATCCCTGGCTTCACTAAGACCATTGGTTACAGTGAAAGTGAAGGAGTCCTCCGTGATATCATTCTTGGTCAGGTGATGATAGACAACTTTTTGAGATGCAATGTCCATTTGTGTAAAACTGCTTATTGGAACAAAACGTTTCTTGATATTTTCTATCTGACCTGCAATGCAGAGATAAATAATATGGATACAAGAGATATCAAATAAGGTCACTGTTTAAACTGTAAGTCAGTCATAAGATCGTGTTTACTTTACCTAGTCCATCATGTAATGTGATATTATTGCTGTCGATATATCTGCACATTGGGCATTTCCATGTATGTGCAATCCTGTGAGGCCCAGCAGCCACCCCTTAGTACCTCTACTGGTTGCTTCCATAAAAGGTTGATTATAATGTCTACTATCAGACGGCATAAATAGGCTGCGCTAGTTTTAACCCCAGGTCACATAATTGGGTTAGTTTTTGGAACTCGTCACTAATAATTTCAGTTCTGTCCATACTTTTGCTCACATGTAATGGAGCATAACTTGTCAGCTGATCTGCTCATTGAATGTCCTTTTTAGAGTTGGAGTGCATCTGCCTGAGAGGTAAGGAACCAACAGTCTACACAGAAATCAGCCAGATCTGTTAAAATGGAAGTGCATGCAAAATTCAAGTTCTGGAGCAAGACTGAAGTCCATAAATGGACGAACAACTGGAACTTGTTGCCAGAGTTATCATCTGGTGAATGTGAACAGGGAATAATTCCTTTTACTCTGATGTGCCCAGGTGTAAGGATCCAGAAGAGAGAAGTTAAATTTGACTTCCTAATGATGTCTACTCATTCAGAGTGGAGGCTGCCTGCTGCGATTTTCTGAAGCATGTTCACAGAGTTTGATATGCTCATTGCCTGTGTGGCTGCTGGTCCTGCTGCCAGCGGGAATATTTAGCCCATTAGTGCTTGGATGCCCTAGCCAGGCGTGCCTAAATCCTCAGGCTCAAGGCGCCCTCCTGTCCCCACCGCCCTCAAAGGTTGTAAAACAGACAGTAGTGACAAATTACAGTGCTTGGATTCTCAGAATATCCCCTCAACATGTAGGAACTGACAACACCAGTTCTGTGTTGTCTTGCAACTCTGACTCAAGGAATGTTGTAGCACAGATGCAAATTCAAATTTACTCTATCAAGATACAAATTTCTGTGTTTGTGATTAAATTATCAACATCTCATGCAAAAATAATGCGGTTATGAAAATTACATACAGTCCGCAAGTGAAACAACGAAAGGCAAAATTCTTTAGTGTAAGTAAAGTAAAGAAGACTTTTCCACGCCTTCAGGTAAATTGGGCAAATAGGGTTAGCCCTTTTTTTATAGACCAATCAACATTTGATGGGTGATGTGGTCAACATCATGCTGGCCACTTTTATTTCCCAGGACTGGTACCCACGCAAAGCTGTGTCGACCTGGGAGCCAAGGTCATTTTTGAAAAAAAGTCTGGCTTCGTCATGACCTGAACCCATGACCTTCCGATCCTTAGACAAACATCTAGCCTCAACACCACAGCGGCTTTTGGGGTGTAATTCTTTAGTGGGATTAGACTAAATGTACAATGAAAATAACACGTTATGGTTTTCATTTATAGGAAAAAACACAAACCATACATTTCTTATGACTGAAAATGTTCGGAAATAAGTCTATTTACAGCGAACAAAACATGCATCTCCAAGAGGCTTATCGTGTCTTAAGAACAAAAAGATACCAGAAATAACAATAAATTAGAGAGAACATACATAAATTCTTACCTAATCTAGGAGGACGTATCACCGCAAAGACAATCTCTTCAGATTTGGTGCTCTCATCAAATGCACTCAAGTTGAGAGTGCTGATGGCAACTCTCTCACCTTCTCTGACCACCATTCCTTTATTGAGAACAGCTACATTGATCTTCTTTGTATTTTTGATCTTAATATCGAAAGTCTCCTCATGGCGCTTGTGAGTCCCATCAGTGAGCACAAACACGAACCGGTCAGTTTCTGTGTCTCCCATGCTCATGGTGTGAATATACCGAACTTTGTTCAGGTCTATATCTGCTTGAGTAAAGTTTTTACCCAAGTCCAAATCCTGACATTCCATATCCAGAGCTGGAGCTAGCGGATCAGGACAAAACTGGAGAGAGCCCTTTTCTGGTATTTCCACGATGACATAATAAAGTTCATCGTCATCATTATCTTCATCCTGCGCCTGAAGCACGGCACTGGAAATTAAAGCAGAATCACCGTAGTCTAGTTCAAGACCGCCGTTTTTCATGATTTCAGGACGTTCGTCATTATGCAGTTTCACTGAAATGTTGCACACTTTCTTGATCTCATGTTTCCCATCGGAGACTGTTACAGCAAATTTGTCACTGAACACCTCAGAACCATCATGTTTGTACATGAGCTGCATACCCCTGTGGATCTCATCCACTAAGATAGTTTGAACTTCAGATTCCACAACTCCACGACGAGTGTGAACTAGCATGAGAATCTTTCCGTGCGCTGGGGGCTGTGAAATAATAATCTTTAACTGATCTTTAGGGATATCCATATCGATAGCATCCAACATGGATGGCCCAATTACCATACTGCCCCCTTCTTGGACAGTGAAATCATTGAGCATCAGATCTGGGGCTTCATCATTTGCAGAGACAATAGTGATTTTCATAGTCCTCACATCAGAGTTCAACTTCCCATCTGTGGCATAGAACTCAAATTCATCTTTGACCGGTTCAACTCCTTTGTGGTTTGCCTGTACATAGTTTATGGATCCGTCCAGAATATCACCATAACTAAATGAATTTATCCGAACTCCTACATTCTGCTTTTCTGGTCCACTACTGGATTTGATATTCTCTATATAACCCCACTGAGGCTGTTTGGTAATCATAAATTGAATCTCTTTGGTTTTGGAGTCCAAATCTGTGACCTTAAGAACATTTTCTGAGAATCTGAAAGACTCTCCTTCAGCAACGAACACAGGGTTTCCCAGGACTATCACAGGTTTCTGGTTGTTGACCGGGGTGATTGTGATGTTGAGATCATACATGGGTAAGTCTGCAGGGGCCAGGTAGTTTTTGTCTGAGATGATAAACGTGGCAAAGTCCTTCAGGGTTGAGGTCCCAATCTCCCCGCTGGTGTGAAGGAAGCTGACATGGCCTGCTTTGACATCTTTCTGTGTAAACTTTGTTGCTGGTTGCCCATTCAACTGCAGGACTCCATATCTGGCAGACAGAAAACATAACCAATTTAGACTATTATTCATGGTAATTCAAGTTTGTTAATTATGATAAAAATCTGTTTTCATATTTTTGTATTATCTCACGTAACGAAAGCTATATTCATTCTTATGAGATTATTATTTTCTAGATAAAGCTTGCATAATTTTTTTTTTCAGTTGGGTTCTCTATTTCTGTACAGCCTTTATGTTAATACACTTTCATATAATACATTTTTTTTTCATGTAACTTCTCATGGTCATAATGTCTCACCCTCCTACCCATAATATTTCTTCTGGGCCACTTCCTGGCTACTGTCCGTCTGCGATGAGAGCTTGTTAAACCAGCCCCTTGTATTCCCTGACAGCATATATCAACAAGCCCTTGTTTTCAAGAATAGATATCCTGACCAGGGGTGGACTCCAGTCTTTAAATAACTAAGTTATTTTACGTAGTTTTTTCCTTAACATAGTCGTAACATTTTCTACGCTGCATAATAAGAGAAATGAAGGCGTCTTGAGAGAAAACTGACTCACGAAGAGAATAGATTGCCAATATCAGAAAGAGACAATCTACATTCTTTGGTCATGTGATGAGAAGGAGAAAACGGAGAGTAAATTGTGACAGTAGGAAAGTTGGAGGAGGGGAGGAGAGGCAAAGGCAGACCAAGAGAACAGATGCTGGTCAGTTTGACATCATAGCATGGAGGATCATCTGTGTCAGAGCTGATTAAAGTATATTAGACAGAAGATTTTGGATAGACATGACTACCAACGCCACACGGCATGGACTATGGAAAATCATCTGTGTCAGAATTGATTGAAAGTACATGAGACAGAAGATTTTGGCTAGACATGACTACCAACGCCACACGGCATGGACTATGGAAAATCATCTGTGTCAGAATTGATTGAAAGTACATGAGACAGAAGATTTTGGCTAGACATGACTACCAACGCCACACGGCATGGACTATGGAAAATCATCTGTGTCAGAATTGATTGAAAGTACATGAGACAGAAGATTTTGGCTAGACATGACTACCAACGCCACACGGCATGGACTATGCAAAATCATCTGTGTCAGAATTGATTGAAAGTACACGAGACAGAAGTTTTGGCTAGACATGACTACCAACGCCACATGGCATGGACTATGGAAGATCATCTGTGTCAGAATTGATTAAAAGTACACGAGACAGAAGATTTTGGAATGACATGACTACCAACGCCACACGGCATGGACTATGGAAGATCATCTGTGTCAGAATTGATTAAAAGTACATGAGACAGAAGATTTTGGAATGACATGACTACCAACGTCACATGGACTCTAAGAAAAAGACAATGACAATGAAGGCTCTATATAGTTAATATATTTATTTTACTATGCAGGATGCCATTATTTTTCTTAACATGAGTGAGTCGGTGTGAGATGAGTTTCAACTGCTGCTGACATCACAGCATTTAGGTTAGGTAAAGTAAAGACCAATTGGCACTTGGTAGGTGATGTGGTCAGCATTGCGCCAGCCACCTTTACTTCCTAGCACTGGACCTGGTACCACTTTAAGGTGGGTCAACCTTGAAGCTAAGGTCATCTTTGAAAGATATCTCCATAATTGCTTCGTCCCCAACTTCAGCAGCAGCGAAGAGTTCAAACTTTGATGGTACCAGCAGCAGGAAAACTATATGTCCATCTTGCCTCTCCTCTGAGACAAACATGAAAATCAGCTTAAGCATGTAAAGACAGCTTTAAATAATGCCTGTACTTGTGTCCGCACTCATCCAAACTTAACTAGTTACCTAGGCTGCCTGACTATGAGAAAGACCAGTCTGTCATCACTGGTTCCGTCTTCAGTAGCGGCTACAGATCTGGAGGTAATTGTGACTTCTTCACCTTCAGACACTATCAGCTGTGGTCGTAGGTTCTTGGACAATGTTGGCGTTTGGTCATCTATTGGTAAGATCTGTGAAGTAATTTTAATGTAAAGGGTAATCTCATTTAGTGGTAAGATTTGTGAAGTAATAATAATAAAAAGGGTTTTCTGGTCAACCAGAGGTAAAGTCTGTGAAATATTATTAACATAAAGGGTAATCTGATCAACCAGAGAAGATTTGTGAAGTATCATTAATATAAAGGGTAATCTGATCATCCAGTAGTAAGATCTGTGAAGTATTATTAATTTTTTTCTTTTTTTAAATATCCAGAAACCATGAGTTCTTTACCCTTTGGCTCAGTACTATGGATATCGCAACCCTTCGGCCTTGATTCCATGATAAATACCATAAATCTGGGAGAAATGTGGCTTTTCTACCCCCGCCTGATCAACTAGTTGTAAGATGTGTGAAGTATTATTAATATAAAGGGTCATCTGATCATATAGTGCAGCGGTTCTCAATCTGTTGGTCGCAACCCTTTTGTGGGTCGAATTACCTTTTCAAAGGAGTCACCAAAGATCATTGGAAAACACATATTCACTGAAGTTATGACGTAGCAACAAAAATAACTGTATGATTGGGGGTCGCCACAACATGAGGAACTGCATTAAATGTTGCCACATTACGCAGGTTGAAACCCACTGATCTAGTGGTATGATCTGTGAAATATTACTATTATAAAGGGTAATCTTAACATTCAGAGGTAAGATTTCTGAAGTATTATTATTATTATAAAGGGTAATCCGATCATACAGAGGCAAGATCTGTGAAGTATTATTACTAAAAAAAGTAATCTGATCACATCTAGTAGAAAGATCTGTGAATTATTATTGTAATAAAGGGTAATGTGATCATCTAGTGGTAAGATCTGTAAAGTATTATAATTATAAAGGGTAAACGTTAGGTCAATCACATGAGTTGAGAACTGACATCATAACACTCAGGACATTCACATAAGCGTTCCATCCCTATCTTCAACAGCCAGTAAAGAGTTCCAATTCTGCAGGCACCAGTAACAGTCTGACTGTATATCAGTCTCGCCTCTCCCCTGAGTGCACCATTCTCTTAAGACCGCAATGATCTATGTGTGCCTCAGCACAGTTCCCAAAGGACCCTCACACCCTCTAACTATATACCATCAAGTGGCGCAGAACCAGCCAATCTGCCTGCCTGTTCATTAAGTCAATCTCATACATAACACTTTATGTTTTAGTGTTATAAAGTGAGAGTTATCAATTCACATAATCTTCACATTTTCCTCATAGAGAAATCTCTTAAACCTATCTTTAAAATATACGATTATCTCTCAGGGAAAAGTCTACCTCTTCTTAAATTTTTCTTAACTACTTTGGGTATCGAGGAAGACTTCTGGCTGCCTTGACTTACTTAAGACATACTGTACTATTCTAGAGTTTTTCTGATGGCAACTTTCTGTGACAGAAAGGCGAAAAAAAAATATGGGGGGTGGGGGGGATTTATTATCCCCATCCCGACTATTTCTTCCCCCCAAAAGGGGCACCAGAAACCACATGGGAACTTAACAGTACATGAGGCAGTGGGCTCTAAATGCACATGATTACCAATGATACACAGCATGAACTATAAAAAGAAGTAGTGTAAAAAAAAAAAAATCTTGCGGCACTCAAAATGAAACTCAGGACTTGAAAAAAAAAAAAGAATTAAAGATTTTCTATCACAAAGTGAGGCAATCATCACTTGGGCCACATTGTTAGAAGAAAAAGAGTAGAAATGACTGACAGTACATAAGACAAAAGGCTGTAGAAATTCCTCGCCTTCTTGTGTTTGCTCTTAAAAGGGCATGTAGCATGGTGTGCTGAAGTTTAAAGATAGGCTGTGCTATCTGCAATTCACGGCACAAAACATCAAATTTCTGCAGATCCTTAATCAATCATCTTTCACAACATGCTTGTTAACTCTTTCAGTCCCAAGGAAGGCATCATACTTTCATAGGTTCCTACCTAGAAGCCCAATGAAGGCAAGATGTTCCAATTTTATATCTCTCTGATACAAAAACCTCCTTGGACTGAAAGGGTTAAGAAGAGGTGGATCTATTTTTTTAAACTAAAAATAGGGCCCCAGAGCCCACATGGGGAGTGGACAGACATCAAAATTTCAAGGCAGAGGTTAGAATCAGAAATATTAATATCAACATATAGGAAATAGCAGTAAACATGACTTTACCTGAATAGAAATAACTTTTGTTGCCTGGTTCATGCCATCCGTCAGTGCCAGTGTAAACGTGTCAAGGGTGTAATCAGATCCATCATTAAGATATCTGCAAGAATGCAAAGCAGATATGTTACTGTTGTTATATTGAGGCTAGTATCCAAACTTGCTATTTTAGTATTTAAGAATACTAAGAATTCCATGAATTGGTTAGAGGTAAAATGATACACTTAATTAGGTAAGAATGTTGACAAAGAGAGCAGAACAGATAGAAACATAAAAAAAAAATTTATGGGGCAGTAATTAACTCTTTGAGTCCCAAAGGGTTTAGCATCACAGCCCCAAGGGGTAGTCAAAATAGATGTAAAATCGGCGCATTATTTTTTCATTGGGCTTCTATGCAGTAACCTATGAACGTATGATGCGTTCCTTGGGACTCAAAGAGTTAAGGAAGAAAACAGGGGCTTCTGAGCTGAAATGCTACAGAAAGATTCTCAGAATACAGAATATCATGGACAAAGAAGAAAAGACACACTGACACCCTAAAAGATCTGAACATCATGGAAGCTGAGCTAGTAAACAGCATCCTGCTTGGAAACTGAAAAATTGTAGCTATATCAAGTGCCTCATTGAACTGAACAATATAACAGCAGAAGGAATGGTACCAGGAAAGAGGGGCAGAGCCTGACCAGCAAGAAGATGGGCACAGGAATTAAGAGACACTTTGGTAGGAAAGTGCATGATGTTGGAGAGCTGGTGATGGAACAAGTTTCTTTCAGGTGGACCATGATGAGAGCTGGGCTCTGCAAAGAACCTGGTGATGATAGAGCAAAGTGTAGGAACATACACCTGTTTAAGTGTTGTTTGTCCATCACATGCGACAAAGATCACTTAGTATCCAAAAGTATTAATGACCAAAGACTGTGAGTACAAAGATGACTAATGAGTCTGATTTAAGCTTGTATAGGTCTTTAGCTGTGCAGACAACAGATATAAGTGGATGCAGAGGTGGCATCAGCCACACAGTTCACACAGACATAAGTTGGCCTCTGTTTCTCTGTCAGTACAACCTCTGCTGCCTGACAGGCTGATACACCATGCTTGACAACTGTATGCCATGCATATCTGTCTTGTGCAACTGTGTCCCATGTTTGTGTCTTAATGCCGAAAGATTAATGAGCAATTTTATGAACCTGCTTAAGAAGCAACTTTCACAAACATGAAGGTATAGAATAAGATATAAAAAACACCAGTACTGCAACAACAACAACAATAAAATAACAATTAATCTAATGTTATGACAGAATTATAATGAACATTCTTTAGAAATGATGAATGATCTTAGTTCTGAATATGACATATTTAGAAAACATGGTAAGTAAAAAAGAAAAAAGTAAAGGACCCTTTTCCATGCGCATTGGGCATATAAGGCTAGACCTATATTTTATAGACCATCTACACGTGCTGGGTGATGTGGTCAACATCGCGCCGGCCACCTTTACTTCCCAGGATGTGTTTCTGGTACCCACTCAAGGCTTGGTAGACCTGGAAGACAATGTCATTTTGGAAAAAAAGTCTGGCTCCGCCAGGACCCAAACCCATAACCTTCTGATCCGCGGGCGAGCGTCTAGCTGCTACACCACAATGATCCTCAGAAAAAATGATACTAGTATAATATTGTGCTTATTTTTTTAAATTTTGTTCTTTTTTCCAATTCCAATTCTTTTTAAGAAAACAAAAATCAAAAATCAACCATGTTGAACCTGCTGTTAGCTAGCTGAAGCTGCCAACAGTCTCCGGCTATATTTGTGGTCTTGTATATTTGCACCACTTTTGTGGCTAAAGTTCTGATATTTGTCACTGACTTTTTAGATGGAAAGGCCAGCAGCCTTCATGAAAGCTGTGATTAGATGTTTGTCCTCCACTAATCCAACAACTTGGTCCCAGCCTGAATGTTAACTGTCCATGGCAGCACCTATTAATCTGTCCTGAGTGCTGTGATGATAATCCTCATTAACTCTTTAGTCATCTTTAATCCAACTCATGTTGCATATCTCTCTCTTGATGTACCCCACCAGATGTGACACAAAGTGCCACCATGCGGGGACAACTGGTAAGTAGGTTGGATGCTCCTTAATCGCATTATATCCTAAGAATTTACTATTTTAGCTAATAAATGTTTGAGCCTGAAGCAGGCAAAAGTTCCAGGTAAAATAAAAACAGCACGAGAATGAAGGATATAAAGCAACAGCTGAGGGTAAAGCAAATTACTGGATGCTCGGCAGAGGGTTAAGAGTAATATACAATGTATGAGAGCTCAACATATGCATGGTGAGTTGCTTGGGACTCAATAAGTTAATAAGTAATGTTCAGAGTCAGTCATGCTGAGACTCCTGCTCTTCATCTGACGTTACAAGAAGAAAGCAAATTAAAAATGAAGAAACTATTAAAGACTAGGACTGAAACCAGCCATATAATTAATTATAGAGCAACAGATGACATAGCTAGCTCCTCCCCGTGTGGGTTCCAGGGCCCTATTGTGGGGAAAACAAGAACAGACCCGCTGCCTACCCAGAAGCATGTCGTAAAAGTTGACTAATTTGGAGCTTCCTTCAAAGTCGGATTGCATCTGCCTGACAGACAAGGAACCAGCAGTCTGTATACAAATGAGTCAGATCTGTAAAACAGATACACACGCAACACTCAGGTTCTGGGACACGACTGCAGTCCAGAAGTGGATGAACACCCAGAACTTTCCACCAGAGTTTACAGCTGGTGAACACGAAGAAGAAGAAGACATAGCTAGCCAACTGAAAAAAGGTCCTGGTAGCAACTGCCACACTGAGCAACTGAAAAAGACCGAATGCAGAAAGAATAAATACAGAGAAAGGGAGAAATTGTAAAAAAGCTAATATATATATATATATATGTGCTCTCTTTAATGCGTTGTGTAAATTGATCTTAATTTTTTCAGACTGTTGTTCTTGATTCATGCATTTTATATATATATATATATATATATATATATATATATATATATATATATATATATATATATATATATATATATATATAATATATATATATATATATATATATATATATATATATATATAAATGCATGAATCAAGAACAACAGTCTGAAAAAATTAAGATCAATTTACACAGATATATATATATATATATATATATATATATATATATATATATATATATATATATATATATATATATATATATATATATATATATATATATATATATATATATATATATATATATATATATATATATATATATATATATATATATATATATATAAATGCATGAATCAAGAACAACAGTCTGAAAAAATTAAGATCAATTTACACAACGCATTAAAGAGAGCACACAGAAGATCTTTTTTTCTTCCTAATGCTTTAATGAGGTAAATGGAGGAGGAGGGGGAAGAAGAAGAGGAGGGGGAAGAAGAAGAAGAAGAGGAAGATGAAAAAGAAGAAACAAACCTACCGTATATGCTTCTTTTCTATATCCTCTATCATAAATGTTGATCCCTTCTTGAGTGTGTGGCCATCATTCTGCAAGGTCCCATACATAGGTGGAGCATCAAGGATAAATTTCAGCATATTGATGGGTGTGTCTATATCCACTGCTGACAGTTGATTGGTAGTTATACTGAGAACGCCACCTTCTTCAACCAGCAGTTTGTTCGTAACGAATTCCGGGACATGGTTGTTTACAGCATTCACCTAAGGAATAAAACCAAAATGTAATAAAAACTGCTTCACATGTTGTCATGAATAGCAAGCTGTTTACACAGACACTGATGGTATTTACAAACAGTGAATTGTCTACACAACTAATGTCTAAAGTATACAAATAGCTCAGCTATATAAACAATTCATGGCTATGCATACAGCAACATGTCTCTTTGAACAAATTCTTGTATAAACAAGCAGCAGAATTTGTGTGTGAACAAAGTCTTTGTACACAAGCAGCAACATAAATATATGAACAAAGTCATATGTACACAGGCAGCAAAATGATTCTATGAACAATGTCATATGTAAACAAGCTACAAAATGCCTATAAGAAAAAAGGCTATATGTACATGAGAAGCAGCATGTTTATATGAAGAATTTCATATGAACACAAGCAGCAACATGAATATATGAAAACAAATGATATATGAAACATTCACATTCTTTTTTAGTATACAAGCAATATGTTTATATAAACAAATTCTTGTGTACATGAGCATAAACTTTCTCTATTAATAAACGTATGTGTACACACAGCAATTTTATATAAACAATTCTTCTTCTGCATTCATCTTTATAAGTGTGGTCGGCGCAGTATGCTGTAGTTTACAGCTTGGCTGCGATATCTGGACCTTTAGGTCAGACACATCTGATTTCAGGAAATTCTTAAAACTGTCACTTGTTTCGAAATGCTCGTTAGAGGACTTGTGGGTTTGTTTCTCCCCAATAGGCACCCTGAACCCAGAAAGGGTTCTACTTCACAATTTGTTAGCTTTATCATCTTTCTGGAGGTTCTGCACAAATAGGTCATGAATCCCAGGTGTCTCTTTCTGGTGCAGCACATTCCAAAATGCATGCCAGCTTTAAGACAGGTATTCACCATTGATTGCAGTCATCAATTTCACGTAGGGCTGATACGTAGACATACACCACAGCTCTTATGTGAATATATAACATAGCTCTAAAGTAGACACACAATACAGCTCTAAAGTAGACATACACTACAGCTCTAAAGTAGACATACACTACAGTTTAAGCATAGACATGCGCCAAAGCTTTAGTTAGAACAGACATATACCACAGCTTCAAATAAGGCATGCAGAACACTCTAAAATAGACATAAGTGCACAGAAAACGAACAGACATAAGAAGAGAGAAAACAATCACCTCTATATCAAATGTCTGTCCATGGAGCTTGTTACCACTACTATCTTCCACTGTGTAGGCAAGTCTGACAAGACGGGACTCCGGGCCAATGTCTGTCTGTGGCGGGATGTAGACAATCTTCTGGTTATCAATATCCAGCTGAGTGAATTTGGTCACTACAGACATAGGGAAAATAAATATGATTAGCAATAGGCAATGACCTTTGATACATGCCTTGAAAAAATCTGTTAACATTAAATGGGATGTATACAAGAAAGGCAAGGAGATAATAGATATTCATGGAAAATCACTGGTGCCAGCAGTCATCAGCAGCAATATAGTAGTATTTGATTTGATAAAGCAAATAAAGAATCACAAAACAGGTCCTGCCATGAGAAACAAAGGGAGGGTGTCCACACACACACACACACAAAAACCCTCTATCAGGAACATTTATAGGAGAGGCAGTGTTGAACTAGATTCCACAAGCAATAGTCAACAAATGCGCAAGATAGAACGGAAAGAGGGATACAGTAAAAGAATAAAGTTGAGAGGATCAACTTTATTGCCCCAGGTTTTAACTCCTATGGCTGGGTCATTTTTCGCAGAACAACTAGCCACCTACCGAAAGCATCGCACAGTGCACGAAATCAGTAGATCCTGTGACGATCTCCAGTAAAGAGAGAATCAACTTCATGCCTTTTGCGATGTATATACAACAATATTCTGATTCTTATCATTATCCTATTGCTTCCTTGAATGGCTGATTAATTCAAGCCTCACCAACATAAAAGAGATCAAATGACCAAATTTCACACGACTACTCAGAATTCTGTTTTCAAATACAAAAATTGGTTTAATAGTGCAGCACTTTATTGGGAACTGTAATCAAATGATTAATATTTAGTTCAGCGGTCTCCAACCTAGAGAGCCCAACGGTCTCCAACCTAGAGAGCCCAGCGGTCTCCAACCTAGGAAGCCCGGAGGTTTCAAGGGGGGAGTCAATTTTGAAATTCAGTACATTTGCATTTGTAATAATTCATTATACTATGTTTTTAGTTGAATTATAAATAAAATGTTGTTTTTTTAACTATTTATAAAACATACAGTTAGTTACATTTTTAAAAAAAGCAGTCTGTATATCTACTACGGTTAGAAATCTAATAAAAATAATATCACAGGCATGTATTGATTAAGAATAATTCTGACCATAACGTATCTCCATACTGTCTGATTCCCTTGTGAAATCCATTGTCCTCCACTTTTTAATTATTCACATTTTGCTTTATTGGAGGGTGGGTTGTATTGCCATATACTTGGGGGGGGGGGGGGGGGGGAGGGGAGGGGGGCCTTGCGTTATACTTAAGTGGGTGTGGAAAGGGGGGGGGGGGTCCTTGCTATATAGGTGGGAAGGAGGGGTCTTGCTATACACTCAAGGGAGATGTGGTGGTCTTGCCACATATTCAAGAGCGATCTGGTGGTCTTGCCACCTGGTGGTCTTGCCACATATTCAAGAGCGATCTGGTGGTCTTGCCACCTGGTGGTCTTGCCACATATTCAAGAGCGATCTGGTGGTCTTGCCACATATTCAAGAGCGATCTGGTGGTCTTGCAACATATTCAAGAGCGATCTGGTGGTCTTGCCATAAACTATAGGAGACGTGAGAGTCTTGCCATATTCTCTAGGGAAGGGGAGCTCAGTAAAGGTCTTGCCATATACTCAAGTGGGACGTGGGTGCCCTTCCATCTACTTAAGGGGGTGTCAGTCTTTGCCATATTCTCTAGGGGAGGGGGGGGGGGCAGTAAGGGTCTTGCCATATACTCAAGTGGGACGTGACGGCCCTGCCATCTACTCAAGGGGGCATGAGTCTTGCCATATTCTCGCGGAAAGAGGGGGGGGGGGGGGATATGCGTAAAGGTCTTGCCATTTACTCAAGGAGAGTGCAGGGAATTTACCATATACTCAAAAGTGCTCGGGGGACTTGATATACTCAGGGGGAGCGCAGGGGTCTTGCCCATATACTCGAGGGAGCGGGATCTGTAAAAAAGGCTGGAGACCACTGGTCTAGTTCATCAAAGCACTACTGACAGATCCACTGGTGCTCCCTTCTCCGCTTCAATAGCTCCATAACCATAGAATAGTTCGGAAATAAAGGATGTATGCGCAGCACACATACATTACTTAATCCGGCTATCCTCCGAATAACGGTCACATATTATAGCGGCCAAAAAACACACCATGACAGGGCCTCAGTCACATGTAAATTTTAAACTTCCGGCGACTTAAATTGCAGACCGGCACTATACCGCCACCGCCGAGAGTATCTCCCGAAACTAGATGGATGGGACTCACGAGCAGCAGCTTTCGCATCTCCTGCATCTTTGCTCGCGAGTCCCAGCAATCTAGTTTAGCCCCGTTCCGCGCCGCGGGAGATACTATCGGTGGTAGCGGTATAGTCGCCGGAAGTCAGCAGTTTACATGTGACTGCGGTTCTGTTTTCGGCCGCCATGATATGTGGCCGTTATTCGGAGGATAGCCCTGAATCCCCTCCCCATTTATACAAAACTCAAGGAGTTGAGAGTAATAATAGCATGCACTTGGAAATCGGTGTTATCTTTAGTCCTCCTAGCATTTGCCTCGTCAAGGCGATGCACTTCTCCCATCTTTTCTTCAGTCCTGATTGCAGAGATCCTTCACCTAAACTAGTAATTACGAATCCAGTTTGGTAACCAAAGTCTTACTCATTCCAAAAGTGACGTCCATAATAGTTGACACTTAACCGTTTAGTGGCTTCTTTTCGTTTCCACAGTGGAAGAGCTCACTTCGTGGACGTCGTGTTTGGAATGATCTTCTTCTTTTGTCAAAATCTGCTTGCGCCGCTAGGCGTCGCAGTCTATCAGATGATCGGCAACCGAGCCAGGGTGCGCTCAGTCGCTTCATATGCCGTGATGTTATGACGTATCAAGTTGTCCCTGACTCCTTCAATCCATCTTCTTCTTGGTCTTCCCCTGCCTCTTGATGTTTCGATTTTCATGTTGTATGCTCTTGATGCTGGCATCGTTGGTTCCATTCTCATTAGGTGACCAAACCATTTCATTCTTTGCTTCTCAATAAATTTAACGATGGGTATGGTTCCAATAGTTCTTGTAATCACATCGTTTCTCACTCGATCTCTTCTGGTTTTATTCGCAGCCATTCTCAAACATCTCATTTCACAGGTGGTTAGTCTTCTCTCATGTTCTTTTGTTAATGTCCAAGTCTGACATTGATAACCTAATGTCGGTATAAAGATTGTATTTATAATTTGTCTTTTTATCTCAGCTGGGACAGCAGGGTGTTTTAAAATTGGGGCAAGCTGGTATGCGACATTGTTGGCTTGTTGGATTCTTGCTTCGATCTCTCTTGGAATGATCAGGACTTAATTATTAGATTATTGACATTTTTTCCCCCCGGCACAGATGGAAGGATTTACAACCAGGAATTAAGGAATTTTGTCGTGGTTTAGCAGCAAGACGCTCGCCTGGGGGTCGGAAGGTCGTGGGTTCAGGTCCTGATGGAGCCGGCATTTTTTTCTAAAATGAAATTGGTCTCCAGGTGGACCCAGCCTTAAGTGGGTGCCTGGTATAGTCCTGGGAAGTAAAGGCGGCGTGCGTGATTTTGAGCATATAATCAATTGAGTGCCGATTGGTCTATAAAATATAGGTCTAGCCTTATAAGTCCAATACGCCTAAAGGCGTGGAAAAAGGTCCTTTACTTTACATTTTTTAACTAGGTAATTTGAGCTGATGGATCGTCTTAAAGTGTGAATACGTGGGAAAGACTAAATTTCACATTAATATCTGGTCAGTTTCACAATCCTATAACAATGAAAGATAACATTACCGTTGAACGGAAAAACTGTCCTTAGTACAAGACACAAACGGACAATGATTGCAATGAAAAAAGTAACTATCCATTTTGAACTGGCTGAATTAAGAGCAGTCAAAAGTAAAGAAAACCATGCAAAACTCGATGAAGATTCGAACACATGGCTTTTTGACCAGGCCATCTAGGTTCCCTGACTCACCCTGTATTAAATGACATCAAATAGACGTATAAATAGAATCTTCGTACCAACTTTGTGCTATTAGTGTCAGACTTGAGCACTGAAACGCGAAAGAAAAGCAACCAACTGCGAAATGAGTTTGTTTAGGAAAAGCCGCGAATAAAACTAAAGGATCATGTGAGAAACGTAGAAATTCTCACGTGAGAAACGTAGAAATTTTTGTGTGAGAAACGAAGAAATTACCATGTGAGAAACGAAGAAATTACCATGTGGGGAACGAAGAAATTATCATGTGAGAAATGAAGAAAGTATCATGTCAGAAAGGAAGAACTATGACGTGAGAAACGACAAAATTATCATATGAAAAGCGAAGAAACTATAAAAATTACTGGAGCAGTACCGACAATTACATTTGTTGGAAAACAAAGACTTAAACGGTATGGCTATTTAATGAATCCAATGATGCCAGAAAAGAGAGCGTGCAACATGAAAATAGAAACATTAAGAGATGTAGGAAACGACCAAGAAGAATATGTATTGATAGAATCACTAATACCTTGAGACTCTGCGACATCAATCACGCCTGGCAACCGAGCGTGCCCTAGTGCTGAAACCGATCATCTGTTAACATGTCACGCCTTGCAGCACAAAGCACAAAACTGATAAAAGAAATAGACTCGCAAACAACACTGTAGTCTCGGTGCGCTAGCTATGTTGGTTAAACCAGCTGCGTGGCGAACGGGTGACAAACTCCGAGTTCAGGCTCGGGGGTAGGCAGAAAAGCCACATATTTCCCAGATTTACGTTATCTCTCATGGAATCAAGGCCGAAGGGTTGCGATATCCAAAGTACCAAGCCAAAAGGTTTACAACTCATGGTTTCTAAATGTATCTAACTAACCTGGCGAGCTCGGCTCTCTAGCGTAGTTGGCTAAACCGGATTGCGCGAAGACCGGATGACGAACTCCTTGTGGTCCAGGTTCACTCCCGGGGGTAGGCAGAAAGCCACATTTCTTCCAGATTTACGGTATTTACAATGGAATCAAGACCGAAAGGTTGCGATATCCATAATACCGAGCCTAAGGGTTAATTAACAACTCATGGCTTCTGGATACTAAAACAAACAAACATC